AGTAAGATGTTTCATTCATAGAAATATTATTAAAAGTAATGTTACTAATAATTGTGCTATTTTGTGGTATAGTAACATTACAACTTAATCCAGTGAAACTCTCTTTGCACTCACATGTATCATTCATTGTACAATTACCATTTCCTGAGCAGACAGAACTATTACTATTCAGAACACCAAAACACGAAACTAGTAAATAAATTTGTGAGGACTCAGCAGAGACGTTACTGTTAATAATGGTATTGTTGATAGTGGGTTGAAGGAGGGGAGAATTTACATCCGTTTCATTAGTGTTGGAAGTTGAGTTATGAGAAGAGTTATTGTTCATTTTGGTTTCGTTGAAATAAGCAGTATCATTTAAAGAAATATAGTTCAAACTACTGTTGGTTATTGATTTGCTAGGGTTCATTTTGGTTTCATTAAAGTGCACTGTATCATTTAAGGAAGTGGTATTTACAGTATTATTACTCAAAGAAATATAATTTGAAGTGCCATTAGTTATTGATATGTTGCTCATTATAGTTTCGTTAAAGTAAGATGTTTCATTCATAGAAGTATTATTAAAAGTAGTGTTAGCAAAAGAAATATTGCTAATAATTGTACTATTTTGTAAAATTGTCACATTACAACTTAATCCAGTAAAATGAGATTTACACGAGCATGTATCATGCATTGTACAGTTACCATTTCCAGAACATACTGAACTATTGGTATTCAGAATACCAAAACAATTATAGAAGAAGCAATCATTTCCAAAATATCCACTTTCACAGGTACAATTGTTATAAAAGCTGCAATCTCCATGACCTGAACAAACCTTTGAATTATTAGAAGAAACGCCATAACAGGAAGTAAAGTGACATTCATCACCAGTGTAACCATCATTACAGGTGCAATTATTTGGGGATGAACATACACCACTTGAGGAACAAACTTGAGACGAACTACCGAGAATTCCATAACAATTATGGTGTTGACACTCATTTCCAAAAAACCCACTTTGACAAGAACAATTATTTGGAGATGAACACAATCCTCTGGAAGAGCAGACACTGGAATTGTCAAAAGAAATTCCAGAACAGTCGTAATTTTGGCAATTATTGCCTGTAAAATCAAATTCACAATGGCAATCGTCTACTTCAGCACATATACCTCTTCCTAAACAAACTTCACTTGAATTAGAATAAATATCATTACATGTTGTAATTGAGCAATTAGAGCCATAATAATTTAAATAACATGAACATGAATTATAATCAGTGCATGAACCATGTCCTGAGCAAACATCAGAATTTGTTTTTGGTACAGAGTAGCAATCAAAATTTTCACAATCAGGTCCATAATAATTTGAAACGCAAGAACATGAATTATAATCTACACATATTCCTTTTCCTGAGCAAACTTCACTTGAATTAGAATAAATATCATTACATGTTGTAATTGAGCAATTAGAGCCATAATAATTAGATGAGCAGCTACAAGTGTTATATGATGCACAAGTACCATGATTAGAACAGCCAGTTGTAAGAGAATTTGAATATCCATTACAAGTCCAAGAAGAACAATTAGCACCTGAGTAACCATATGAACACGAACAATTGTTAACATCTATACAATTTCCATTTGAATTACAAACAGTGGAGTCATCAGATCTAATCGAGTAACAATAGGGTAGATTACAATAACCTCCACCATAATTTGCATCACACACCATGTAAATTTTTCTGAGTTCATCACTTTCTGCAATTAACATCAAGTTGTTATCGCTGGAAAAAGTCAAACCTACAAGTGTGTTGAACTTGGTATAAGCCAGAGTTTCTCCATCATTATATGTTCCAGCACTATTACCAGCATAGGACGTTATTGTACCAGTGTTAGCATTGGCAGTGGCAGGTGTGAAAAGTTTAAGAGCACCACTCTCAGTGTAGTATACATTACCGTTGTCGTTTACATAAAAATCTTTGATGGCTACAGAAGAGGTCTTATTAAGTTAGTTTAAATAGTTCAATCAAAACTTACAGTAAAA